CGCAGGGTGTTTGTGATGTCTGTGGACTGCTCTGGTAGTATTCTGGGCAGCCCATCCTCATCTGGAAGCGTCCTCCTTAGGAAACTTGGCAGGCTCCATTGTCTGAAACGATCTATTTCTTGAGATGAACCTGTCGGCGCCCTGGCTGGCACCTGACCTCAGGCACTGAGAGGGTCTGGTTTCTTTCGATATTTTGCCTCCCACATGCTCAGCGTCCAGGAATGTGAGTCGCTCTGTTTATTGTCTCAGATCTTACTGCCTGGTGGTTATGATGGTGTGATGTGAGACCTTCAGGCCTCTAAACACTAAATTTATTTCTCAGGAAATCCTTCTCCTCTCCCCTCCCCTCCCCTGCCCTCCCTTCTCTTCCTCTCTTCTTTTCTCTTTTTTCCCTTTCTTTCTCTAACCTCCTGATGCCTGCCGACCCCTGTAATGCTGCTGTGGCCTTAGGCACTGACTTATTCATTGAACTCTTCAAATATCCTTCATTCTTATCAATGTTTTATTCTTTGGTCTACAACCTTAGAATTTAAGAAAAGGAAACTGCAGGCTGGATGCGGTGGCTCACGCCTGTAATCCTAGCACTTTGGGAGGCCAAGGCGGGCAAATCACAAGATCAGGAGTTCGAGACCAGCCTGGCCAACATAGTGAAACCCCGTCTCTACCAAAAATACAAAAAAAAAAAAAAAAAAAATTAACTGGGTGTAGTGGTGGGTGCTTGTAATCCCAGCTACTCAGGAGGCTGAGGCAGGAGAATCTCTTGAATCCGGGAGGCGGAGGTTGCAGTGAGCTGAGATCATGCCACTGCTCTCCAGCCCTGGAGACAGAGTGAGACTCTGTCTCAAAAAAAACCAAAAAAAAACGGAAACTGTAGAATTGCCCAGACTCGCACAAATCATTTTGTCTTAGCTGTCAAAATGTTGGCCAAAAAAAGGTCTGGTAAATACGTATTGACTGCTTATTATGTGGAAATTACCTTCTAGATCACCCCATCCAATAGAATACACTCAGAGTCAAACGCAAATCACAGATGTAATTTTAAAATTTCTAGTAGCCACATTAAAGAAATAAAAACAAACTGGCGAAATTATTTTTAATAATACAATTTATTAACCTAATATTTCCAAATGATCACCTCCCTATGTAATTTTTACATTGTTCTTTTTGATATTTTACTTTTTTTGGCATTAAGTATTTACCTGCAAAAATTATTTATTTCTCCTTTGCTCTTGGAGGATAATTTTGCAGGGTACAGAAATCTAGGTTGGTCAGTTTTTTTCTCAACACTTTTAAAATATTTTGTTTCTCTCTCTTCTTGCTTGCATGCTTTCTGGGAAGTCAGATATTCTTATCTTCACTCCTCTGTAGGGAGGGTGTTTTTCCCCTCTGGCCTCTTTCGGGAATTTTTTCTATATCTTTGATTCCCCCCCCCCCCCATTTTAAATGTGATATGTCACAGTGGTGGTTTTTTGTTTTTTTGGCATTTATCTTGTTTGGTGTTCTCTGAACTTCCTGGATTTATGATTTAATGTCTGTCATTAATTTGGGGGAAACTCTTAGTCATAGTTGCTTCAAATATTTCTGTGTTCCTTTCTCTCTTTATTATCTTTCTGGGTATTCCCATGATGTGTCTGTCACACCTTTTGGATAGTTGTCTCACAAGTTCTTTGATATCCTGCTCTGTTTTCTTGTCGTTCCAATCCTTGTTCTCTTTGTCCATTTTGGGCAGTTTCTATTGGGATATCCTCAAGCTCAGAGGTTCTTTCCTCAGCTGTGTGCAGTTTGCTAATAAGCCCATCGAAGGCATTCTTCATTTGTTACAGTGTTTTTCATCTCAATCATTTCTTTTTCTTTCTTAGAATTTCCATACGCCTGAGTACACTGCCCATCTGTTTTGTTGTTGTTTTTTTTTTTTTTTTTTTTTTTTTGAGACGGAGTTTCGCTCTTGTTACCCAGGCTGGAGTGCAATGGCGCGATCTCGGCTCACCGCAACCTCCCCCTCCTGGGTTCAGGCAATTTCCTGCCTCAGCCTCCTGAGTAGCTGGGATTACAGGCATGCGCCACCATGCCCAGCTAATGTTTTGTATTTTTAGTAGAGACGGGGTTTCACCGTGTTGACCAGGATGGTCTCGATCTCTTGACCTCATGATCCAACCGCCTCGGCCTCCCAAAGTGCTGGGATTACAGGCGTGAGCCACCGCTCCCGGCAATGCCCATCTGTTCTTGAGTGCTGTCTACTTGTTAGAATTCTTAGCGTATTAATCATAGTGTTTTGGTCTGGTAATTCCAACATCCCTGCCATATCTGAGGTCAGTGAAAAGCTGTGCTTTTCACTTTTGAGTATGCCTTATAATTTTTTCTTAGTAGACGGATGCGGTGTACTGGGTAAAAGGAACTGCTATAAATGGGTTGTTAGCGATGTGGTGAGGTGTGGGGAGAGGGGAAGCGGTCTAGAGTCCTTTGAGGCTCTAGGTCCCAGTCTGAGTGAGCTTGTGCTTCTAGACCGTGAACTCCACAGGTGCTTCTCAGTTCCTTGGTCCTCCCCCTCCCACCTCAGCTGGGACAAGATGGCTAGAGGGGGCTGGAGTTGAGAATTTCCCTTCTTCTAGTTAGGTTTGGGGCTCTGATAAAACCTCCAAAGGTTAGGCTCTGGTTAAGTAGTTTCTCCTGAGGGCAAACTTTGTTAAGAGGAACGGAAAGCCCTGGCTTACACCAAAATGATGACTTTCCCCTCCCGCTGCTGGAAGCATGAAGCATGGAACTGAGAAGCACCTGTGGAGTTCACGGTCTAGAAGCACAAGCTCACTCAGACTGGGACCTAGAGCCTCAAAGGACTCTAGAACGCTTCCCCTCTCCCCACACCTCAGCCACACTTTTGCTTTGCTGTTCACTGGAGGCACCCGCTTGTACTCCTGGATATAAAATTCACAGAAGTGTGGGGATGCCCCTATGACGGGGTCCCCCTGGAGTTTTTGACCCTCGGACTTGTCTACATTGAGCTTCCAGCAGTTCATTAATTACAGTTAGGGTTTCTTGTGCAGCACTCGTTTCCATGGAGCTTTCTGCTCAGGAGTCTCTGCTCAGGTAAGCTGTGAGTCTCTTTTTCTTTTCTTTTTTTATGTTTTTGAGATGGACTCTCACTCTGTTGCCCGTGCTGGAGTGCAGTGGTGTGATCTTGGCTCACTGCAACTTCCACCTCCCAGGTTCAAACAATTCTCATGCTTCGGCCTCCTGAGTAGCTGTGATTACAGGCATGCGCTACCACACCCAGCTAATTTTTGTATTCTTAGTAGGACGGGGTTCTGGTCTGTTGGCCAGACTGGTCTCAAACTCCTGACCTCAAGTGGAGGTCTTCCTTGGCCTCCCAAAGTGCTGGGATTAGTGATTCTATCTGCCTGTCTCTAGTTTTAGGGGCAGTGATTTGCTCTGTGACTTCACTTCTCTTATGGATCTAGGAAGGGTTGCTGATTTTGCACTTTTTTCAGCTTTTTACTTGTTAAAATGAAGTGACAACTTCAAGCTCTTTACATACTGAATTGGAAAGTGTACTAAGTCTGTGAAACTTGGTGTGTGTGTAAAATTGGGTGATATTTTACCTTTCTTTTTTTGGTACTGTGTCTTTGAAATTTGGTGTGTATGTGACACTTACAGGACATGTTGATTAGAACAGCCACCTGCTTATTAGCCACATGTGCCTTGTGACTTCCATATTGAACAAAATAGTATTAGGTTGGTGCAAAAGTTATTGTGGATATTACCATTGATAGTGGCAATTACTTTTGCACCAGATTAATAGTTTTAAATGGAAGACTGTTTGCCTGAGAATTGGGTGATTAACTGTTACCCCAGGCATAAATCACCTTCCCACCTGAGGTTAACTAACTTTTTTTACAGTATTAGAAATGCAGTCAAAATACCCCAGGAGAGTGAATTCACTACGTGTTAAAGATCAGCCAGGAGGCATTTAACCTTAGGTAAAGCAGTTCCTTCTCCTTTTTTTTTTTTTTTTTTTTTTTTTTTTTTTTTGTGACGGAGTCTGGCTCTTGTTGCCCAGGCTGGAGTGCAATTTTTTAGCCAATCTCGGCTCACTGCAACCTCTGCCTCCTGGGTTCAAGCAATTCTCCTGCCTCAGCCTCCCAAGTTGCTGGGATTACAGGCATGCACCACCACGCCTGGCTAATTTTGTATTTTTAGTAGAGATGGGGGTTCGCCATGTTGGTCATGCTGGTCTTGAACTCCCGACTTCTGGTGATCCGCCTGCCTCGGCCTCCCAAAGTGCTGGAATTACAGGTGTGATAAGTTCCTCCTTATCCCAGTGTTACCTGATATTTAAATTGGAGACCATTTCCTCCAAGACCCTGATATTTTTTTCTCTTGTTATTAACTTACTTCTGTAAATCTGGGTGTGGAGCTTGCCAGCTTTGGTATTTCTGGGTGTCCAGTTGCCCACTGAAGCTGCTTACTTTTGTCCCCAACAGCAGGACGAACTCAACCCAGGACAAACAAGACTTCCAAGTCTTGGCCAGGTGCAGTGGCTCACGCCTGTAATCCCTTTGGGAGGTGGCAGCAGGCAGATCACTTGAGGTCAGGAGTTTGAGACCAGGCTGGCCATCATGATGAAACCCCGTCCCTACTAAAAATACAAAAATTAGCCAGGCATAGTGGCGCACACCTGTATTCCCAGTTACTTGGGAGGCTGAGGCAGGAGGATTGCTTGAACCTGGGAGGCAGAGGTTGCAGTGAGATCGTGCCACCACACTCCAGCCTGGACAACAGAGGGAGACAAGGCCTCAAAAAATAAAACAAAACAAAGACTTTTTAACTCTCTAATATTCCAATTTAGTGGCAGGTCTTCTGAAAATAGTGAGCTAGATGAATACTGTCAGACTCCTGCCAGCAGAGGCCTTCTGCATTCTTTAGATCAGGAAAAGGGAGTATCTTCCCGCCCAGCCCCTCTAACATACTTTAGCCCGTGGAGGCAGAGTGGGCACATTTCTTACCTGAGATTGCTGGTGCTTCTGGTAGAACTCAGTCATGTTAAAGTCACCCAGGTCAGCCAGCAGGCCTTGCTTACACATCTCACAGGTCTTCACGGCACCAAGATCTGCTCCTTAAATTAGGTAAAGAATTATATGGTACATGTAACCGTGGGTCTGTTTGTGTTAGCACTTTAGACAGGTGGTATTTTGAGAGTGAACTTGTGTGTGTTATGAGTTCTGACCTTCAGTGACCTTCCTTTAAAGCCAGCCATCTTTGTAGAAAATGACCTTGAATCTGAGAGCTGAAAAATTCCTTTGTAGTCATCTATTATGCAAGCTTCATAGAAGTGAAATTCACATGACTTTTAAATAACAGATCTTGCCTTCTATTTAAATATAAACACGATGGTTCATAAACTTGGAATTGTTGCACAGAGGCTAAGAGTCTGTGACACAGGTGTTTGTAAAAAGAGTGAATATTGGGCTTTTTTTTCTTCTTCTTGTAAACCTAACACAGGTCCAAATAAATAAATTAGTGACGACCAAATAGATGGTAGAAGCTATTCTCGATCTATGGCTTTACAATCTGCCTTTACTTCTGCCCAGATAACATTCCCACCTGAGAACAGTGAGGGAGAGAGGGGCCAGGTGTGGGTACTAGTTACAGTAGTACCTGGGGCCAGCTCATAAACCTGAGCTCAGACTCATCTGCGAAAAGAAATATGAGAAGGCCTCTGTTGCTGTTTTTATAAAAACAGGCATTCTAGATCAGCATTTTTCTTCTATTCCCTAACGTGAGAGTGGAAGATGCAGAACTGGGCTGTTATGTCTAAACAAACATTCTGCCAGTTTCCCCCGTAGTTGCGGCTTTTGACTAATGATGTACTGGAGTTTATTTTATGCATTAGAAAATAGACGACTTATTAGTTACCTGCATGTAGTTGGTAAAAATGGGGTTGTGCAGTTTCATGCCCCCATTCTATTTCCCCGCTGGGGATATAAAGAAACAGTAAATAATAGAGGCTTTCAAAGGGCAAAGATGAACAGTAAGTAATCCCTTATCTGCATTTTGTTGGCTTGATTTTTTTTTTTAGCATCGTTCAGTAATGCTTTAGGCTACCGAATGTCCCGAGTGTCTTCTGATCTAATCCTGCCGAACATACCCATACTAGCATTGACATTTATGAGCACAACAGCATTTTCATGACATGTTTCACGGGTAACTTTTTCTGTGTTAGATGTTTAATTGGCCCAAATTTCTAGAAAGATACACCATTGCATGGTGGAGTCATTAGCAACCAGACTCTACTCGTTTCTTCGCTCTCTGAAGGACTGAATACTTTGCTCGTTTAAGGATCTTGATCAGTGGTCTTATATTTCTTATGCTAGGGAAGTTGTGTAAAACAGGCTCCATGGATGAGACAGTTAGTATGATCACCCCACGTGTTCATTCTGTAATTCGATGGTGTGCTGTCTTTGGTGAGGGGGCGTGGCAACATCTCATGGGGACAGGGTAAATCTCTCAGTCCCTCTGCAGCCTGGAATAGTGATGGCTTCGGAGAAGGATGTGGAAGAGGGGAGAAATGGGATGTAGTTGGTAAAAATAGGGCTTGTGCAGTTTCATGCCCCCATGAAATTGGTTGTGGGGTAATATGTTTTCAGAGAGGTGTGTCTGAAAGAAGCAGCCGCTGTTTTCTGATCAAGTTGCTCTTTGCACTGATGTTCCATGAATTTTTTTTTCGGGGGGTGTGGGTTAAAGTTGATCTCATTCCTAAAGCCATGCTTTAAAGAAACCTGTTCTCTGCCCGGAAAACTACAGCTGACCTACCGATGTGGTTATAACCTGCTCAGGGAGTTGAGAAGGGGCTGCACACCCAATTATAAGATGTTAGGGAGCTGACAAAATCAGCACATGGAAATCTCTTTATCTAATATGGTTGTCGAAAATCAGATGGGCGCTCTTATCCCTGTTGCTAAAAGGCAGTTTTGTTTAGTTTCTTAGGTGACGCCCATTTCCTGCCCCCAAATAAAAGGAAGTAGCCTGCGTGTGCTGGGGGTCTCGTGTGAGGGACCTTCTGAAATATTTTGCTGTGTGTCTGCTAGCTGGGTGGCTACTGTGTGTTTGCTGAGCTTACCCTACTGACCCACTTCTTCTCTTTCCTTCCTTCTAAGAGTTGATCTTAGCGTCTCTGCTCAGGCCTTGAGCAGGGGTAGAATTCAATAGCATTTGTTTCCAGGACTCTTCTCTCAGAAAAACAAAACAAAACCTCCCTACCATAGTTTAAAGACAGCTTTTATGAGCAAGAATCCGGAGCTCAGCCACGTGTCCCCAAGTCGCTGTTCTGCGGAGGAGAGTGAGCTGATGACAAGGCTCCGAGGCCCACACCGGGGTGTCTCATGTAAATTACATGTCGTGGCACGTTCGCTGCACTTCCTTCCCCACCTACCTGATGTTATTTTCACTTTCAGCCACTTTTTCAGGCACTCTTGATGAACAAACCGCAGGCTTCCCACACAGCCACAAGGCTCCAGGAGCGGGTTGGTCGGGGAACCCCCGGCTATCTGACAGATGCGACACAAGTCTCCCTCCTCCTCGGAGTCTTCCTCCAGGAGACTAAATGGAAAACAAGCCACTGTGACCATAGGAGGCTACATGTTTGCAGTTTCTACAAATACCAGTTCCCAGGGCATTGACAGGGAAAGAAGAGGGCTCCTGGCACTCACCCGCTGCCCCCTCTGGCCCTACTGAGATGGTTTTTGATAATAGAGGCCCAAATTCTCTTTTTCTTATTGTTGAAACAGAGTCTCACTCTGTTGCCCAGGCTGGAGTGCAGTGGCACAATCTTAGCTCACTGCAGCCTCAACCTCTTTAGGCTCAGGTGATCCTCCCACTTCAGCCTCCCAAGTAGCTGGGACTACAAGTGCATGCCACCATGCCTGGCCATTTTAAAACTTATTTGGTAGAGATGGAGTCTCACTATGTTGCCAAGGTGGGTCTTGAACTTCTGGGCTCAAGCAATCCACCTGCCTTGGCCTCCCAAAGTGCTGGGATTACAGGCGTGTGCCACTGTACCTGGCCGGCGCCAATTCTTATAACAGGCTTCTTTGCAATTGTCGATACGTGTGAGCTGACCTGGAGAACCAGCACTGCCACCATAAATCAAGAGGTGAAGGGAAATGGCTACAGTCATTTCCAAACTGCGGTCAAGGCCAGGAGCCCCTCTCCTGCCATAGGAAGTTGGTGGGGTGGCATACTGGTGAGTGAATAGGATTCGTGATCAGGGAGCCTGGGTTTGAGGCCAGCCTCTGAAACTTGTAAGTTGTGTGACCTTGGATAAGTTTCTTAATCTTCCCAAGACCCTGATTCCTCATCTATACAATGAGGGTCATGGTGATAACGCCACTGCCACCTGCTTCCCAGAGTTGTGGGCAGGCTGGCTACACGTGATGATGAGAACCCTGCTCTGCAAACTGTCAAGTGCGTCAAGTGTCTGGCAAAGTGCTGCACACAACACAGCGTTCACTCAATAGATGTTGGTTTCGGTGAATGATGAACCAATAAACCTGGACACAAGCTCCCAAATAACACCACGCATGCCCACTAATGATGTCAGCATTCCAGAATGTAAGCTGCTGGAATCTGATAAGAGAGGAACTAATGAAAATGTAAGTAAAGATATTTGTGTCTAATAAATGGTGAGTGAAGAATAGCTGGTCACGGTTCATGCTGGAAGGTTTTAAGAAGCCTAAGGCTATTTTCTTTTCCTTGGAGTCCTCACTGGACTGGGGGCTGTTTGGTCAAGAAAAGGAAACTGGTTAGAGATGAAAATCAAAACAGAGGAAGAAATAGACATTGCTCCGGATGTAGAAATATACGCTCAGTTTCTTGAGAGACCTTTTTCCCCATGAAAGGGCAGCTCAGTATAAAGGAGCAGAATTATAGTTTTCCATTATAGACATTCTGAATAACTTAAAGACATTTTCAACATTTAGACTTTAATACATTTCAGTATAATTTCCATGTTTTCACAAGTAATCTGGAAGAATAAGTGTACATGGGAGTGAGTGCTCCAACTGGTGAAGATAAACTAGAGGGAGATCTTGCAAGTTTGAGAAGGGAGGCAGAAAAGTGGTAGAAGATTTTGTTGTTCTTGCTGTATTTGTTTTGAGAGTGCAGTGGCGCGATCTCAGCTCACTGCAACCTCTGCCTCTCGGGTTCAAGCAATTCTGCCTTAGCCTCCTGAGTAGCTGGGATTACAGGCATGCACCACCATGCCAGGCTAATTTTTGTATTTTTAGTAGAGATGGGGGTTTCATAATTTGGCCAGCTTGGTCTCGAACTCCTGACCTCAGGTGATCCGCCCGCCTCGGTCTCTCAAAGTGTTGGGATTACAGGTGTGAGCCATGGCGTCCAGCCTAGACGATTTTTAATTTAGGCAAGTACAAAGGATTGTATTTGGAAACAAGTGCTCTAAATCAATGGTTTCCAATAGAAAATAAATGACCATCAGGTTCACCGGTGGAGGTTTCAAAAACAGATTCTTGAGCTCCACCCTTAGAGGTTTTGGTTCGGTACCTTGGGCCCAGGAACCTGAATGTTAAGATGGCCATGCAGGTCTAAAGATCACTGCTCTCAACAGGAGGACCAGGGGCTCTTTGGCGAACTTGTTATGGTTGATAAATATCTTACTCTTAACTTAAGGTCCTCCATCTTCTCAAAAGGTATTACCGGGGATCCACTGGCTACCTACTTTGCAAAAAAAAAATATTTTTAAACAAAAGTGAAGAAGAGACAGAAAAGCACAGAAAAGAAAAGGAAAATTCAGCATAAAATCATTACCCTAAAGTAACTGCTTGTTAATAGTTGGGTCTGGCCGGGCACAGTGGCTCACACCTGTAATCCTAGCACTTTGGGAAGCTGAGGCAGGAGGATCACTTGAGCTCAGGAGTTCAAGACCAGCCTGGGCAACACAGGGAAACCTTGTCTCAAAAAAAGAAAAGAAAAAAAATATATAGTTTGGTGTACTAGCCTCTGGTATTACTTCTGTGTACATACTGTTTTATAGAATTGAGACTGCTTTTTGGATTAGCTCAAGATAGCAGGCTAAGCTCTCTCATCAGTCTCCTTTCCCACACAAATCTCTTAAAAAGACAAAAAAAAAAAAAAGATAATTATATAGAATGAATCCACAATAGTGCTGGAAAACAAGCAGGCCAGAAGTAATGAGGAATTCCTGGAAAGTCGATGAAGATATTATGTTGACGAGAAGAAGGGAAATGACAACCCAAGGCACTTTCACAGAAGCATCGAGAAGGGGAGGGCAGACCCAGGGAAATTCCAGGCTTGGGCTGCACCAACGCAGGGGACGGAGCAATTAGGAAGGTAACGAGCTCAAGAACTGCTTCAATAGGAGGGGACCAGCTGCTGCCCCCTTTCAGATACCCTGTGAAGCAGGCAGCAAGTGGCACAGTGCCTCTTCCAGGGGAACATTCTGTCATCGCATTCCAAAGAAAGGGAGCTCTCCATAAAGGTCAAAGTTTTTTGTTTAGTTAGACACAGATCTCACTCTATCTATCGCCCAGTGGCAATCATAGCTCACTGCAACCTCCAGCTCCTGTGCTCAATTGATCCTCCCACCTCCGCCTCCCAAGTAGCTGTGACCACAGGTGCACGCCACCACGCCCAGCTAATTTTTTTTTTTTTTCTTCCTAGAAACAGGGACTCTGATGTTGCCCGGGCTGCTTTCAAACTTCTGGCCTTAAGCAATCCTGCCTCAGCCTCCCAAAGTGCTGGGGCTACAGGGAGTGAGCCACCGCACCTGGCCACAGGTCAAAGTTTTTTAAAACGTTCATGAATGACATTCAATGAAACAAAACCTCCCATTCAGGAAAGTGGATCTCAGAGGAGACGAAACACACAATTGCCGGGGACATCATGCTGGCCACCTCTCTCTCTAAACCACCCATTCCTTCCTTCACAAAACAACTGGGGGCCACCTGTGACATGTGGAAGCCACCAGCGACATGTGGAAGCCACCAGCATGAATGAGAGGAGGCAAGGAAAATAAGTCAGCTGACTCCAGAGGAAATGAATTGTTTAACGAAGGGAGGAGGTAATTCTCAGGAGGCTTCAGAGGATATTGGCAGTTGCTATGTAAAAGGAACAACCAGAGATAAGGAGGATTTCTGGGGCTTTAAAAAATGTGATTAGGCCGGGCGCGGTGGCTCAAGCCTGTAATCCCAGCACTTTGGGAGGCCGAGGCGAGTGGATCACGAGGTCAAGAGATCGAGACCATCCTGGTCAACATGGTTAAACCCTGGCTCTACTAAAAATACAAAAACATTAGCTAGGCATGGTGGTGCGTGCCTGTAATCCCAGCTACTGAGGAGGCTGAGGCAGGAGAATTGCCTGAACCCAGGAGGCGGAGGTTGCGGTGAGCCGAGATCGCGCCATTGCACTCCAGCCTGGGTAACAAGAGTGAAACTCCGTCTCAAAAAAAAAAAAAAGAAAAAAAAATGTGATTAACAAAATAAAAAATTCCAGGTGTCACAATATTAATAGACATAATTCAGGCTAAAAGTCTAACACTAGATATTGATCGATCCAGCTTGATCGATCTAGCAAGAAGAGATCAGCCATGAGCTTTAATGCACTAAATAAAAGCAAAATTCTTGTACATGCGAAGGAGAATGGGCAAACCCAAATCACAGTGGGGGATTTTAATCTCAGAAATTGACAAACTCAATGGAAAAGAATAAAGTATGTAGTTGTTTTTTGTTTTTGTTTTTGAGACAGGGTCTCACTCTGTTGTCCCGGCTGGAGTGCAGTGGCAAGATCTTGGCTCACTGCAGCCTCTGCTGCCTCCCCGGCTCAAGCAATCCTTCCCCCCTCAGCCTCTCAAGTAGTTGGGTCCAGAGGCACATGCCACCACCCCCGGCTAATTTTTTATTTTTTGTAGAGACAGGGTTTTTTCATGTTGCCCAGGTTGGTCTTGAATCCTGAGCTCAAGAAATCTGCTCGCTTTGGCCTCTCAGAGTGCTGGGATTATAGGTATGAGCCATCATGCCTGGCCTGAAGGATTTTAACATATGTATTTTATATATATATATGCATTTATACATAGAAGAGAGAACATGCAACCTTTGCTAATGCCATAGCATATTTTAAATATTTATAACATTGAGTATGTATTAGGGCACAAAAAAATACAGGTCATATTTCTGAGATTAACAATGTAATTAGGTTGGGCAGGCCAGGCGCGGTGGCTCACGCCTATAATCCCAACACTTTGGGAGGCTGAGGCAGGTGGATCACGAGGTCAAGAGATCGAGACCATCCTGGTCAATAAGGTGAAACCCCGTCTCTACTAAAAATACAAAAATTAGCTGGGCATGGTGGTGCACACCTGTAGTCTCAGCTACTTGGGAGGCTGAGGCAGGAGAATTGGTTGAACCCAGGAGGCGGAGGTTGCAGTGAGCCAAGATCGTGCTGTTGCACTCCAGCCTGGGTAACAATAGCGAAACTCTGTCTCAAAAAAATAATAAAATAAAATAAAAATAAATTAGGATGGGCAATAAAAAATTTTGAAAGGGTAACAAAGAAAAAATATATAT